TCTTGGGTTATTCAATTGTGTGCAAAAGAAACCGAAAAAAAACCCAGGATTTTTGCTAGCACATGATTGGTGGATTGAAGTGAACACAGCTTTACCTTATTCAGAAAGCTCAGTGAACCTTCACTTTGAAGAGTGAATATTCAGCTTGCCAATTGACCATTTAATAAATACACCCCACGTCTTTGTATTCATCTATCTAGGTCAGGATTTTTTCCTCTTCACAACTGAATGGCATGTGCGACTCAGAAACACCCCCATAGAAGTCAATGGCCCTGAATTAACACCTGAGCTGGACAGCACTGCTCAGAAAACTGACAGGACTGTTTTTCAAATCACACTGAATCTGCACTCTGGCTGCAAAGAACATATGTGAACAGGCACAATAGAAAGCAATGTTCTTTCACATGCCATGAGAATTGGATGGGGTTCAAGATGCATCCAATTCGCAAATGCGTGAACTGGCTCTAAGACCTAAATCTTAGATATAAGATTTTTTTTTTTTAATCATGTAAATTTTATTGAAAGATTTTGGATGGACAATAATTTATTTGTTTGATTTTCTGTATTGAATCACATTCATTCAATTACATTCAGTTACAAACAACTCCTAGATTGTAAGCTCGAAAGAGCAGGTCCCTTGAACCCCTCGTGTATTGTATTGTAGTACTGTTTTGTCTCATGTTCTGTCCCCCTCCACTATTGGACAGCGCTGAGCAAACCCTTTGGCGCTATATAAATACTGTATAATAATAATTCTTGCACCATACCTTACTCAAATGTTACCTCTAAACCAAACTTTATCTTTAGTTTGGTCATTTTTTTACATTTTGTTTTTTAATTTGCTTGCACTTCTTGCCTCAGAAAGACAATACCTATCCCTGAAACAGGTATGTTTGTTAGATTTCCCCTCATATCCCCTCATGATGGATTTTCCATCACTGTCTATCCCAGTGCCAATGGTCACCAAAAGAAATTGGAGGATGAATCTCCACAGAGGGAATACAGACATTAATAAAAAACTTAACAGCTATTAAAATGGTTCCCTACCTTATCCACAACTATAAAAAAAAGTTTTGGCTTTAGATATACTTTACGTAAACACCACACTGTCAACTGGAAGTGTTCTTTGAGCTTGAAGCCTACAGGCTAGCATCTGATAACAACTATTTTGTAATGAGTGTTTACGCATTAAAGGTCATACTGTGTGAACATTTGCTACTTGTTCTAACCTCTCACCAGTCATTGTTTATGTGTTCGGTATATATTATTCCCATGATATTCCCCATTGTAAGATAACTCTGGCACAAGTAGTGTGTTGCACAAACTAAGCATTCCTTTCCAATATGCGCGGGGGGGGGGGGGAAGTGTCGTTTGCTGGCTAAGTTCTATTAGTTGCCGAATATTAACTGAACATGTTCCTTTGAAGTACCAGTTTTTGAATGATTTAGGACCAGACTTTGGGCTGCCAATGGATGCATTCTTTAACAAAAGTTTGAGACACTTCTGAGATCATTCAGAATTCATTGCAGGTACATTTGGCCTACAGCTTCATACCTGCATTTGACCTGATTTCAAGTATAACTAAAAGGCAAAACTTTTGTTTTTTAATTTTGAATAGAGTGGAGAGGGATTAAAACATCTGTAATTTTTGTTATAGCTGTCTTTGCCCTATTATGGATATCCCCCCTCTCTATTTGTCCCACTTACCATTATCACTGAAAGTGAAAGTAAAAAAAATTGGGTTGTCCTTGAACAGCAATAGAGGGGAAATCTTTGAAAAAGTAAACTAATTCTGCTGACAATATCACAAGTGTAATAAAAGCGCCACACCCTTAATACTTTAAAGCAGCAATTCCACCTCAAAGAAACCAAATACATTTCTTAGTGCTATAACTTAAATAAAGGAATGCGCTAAAACCACAAACTATTCCTAATTTAGTGTAGAAACATTAGTGCAAAAGATATATATATCTATTCTCAATTAACCACTTGCCTACCAGGCACTTATACCCCCTTATTTACCAGATCAATTTTCAGCTTTCAGCGCTGCCGCACTTTGATTGACAATTGCGCGGTCATGCAACATTGTACCCCCTTGAAGACGTCATTCATGACAAAACTAGTAGGGCTTGGCTTGCTGGATGCTGACGTCTGTGGAGAAGATTGAGTCACGAGCGCTGTAGTGAGTGTGCGGGGAACAGGAGACTGTTATACCATTTGCTGTTTTATGCTGTTATAGTGGTGTCGGTGAAGACACCCTTTTTGTGAGTGTAAATCTTTATTAAATTGTTGGATACTTTTATAAAAAAACTGGCTGCACCATGATTTTCTCTTTCTTTCCCAAACATGACCTCGTGGAGAGATATAAAAAGAGAAAGTGATATAATGCTCCAGAGTGATATAATGCTCCTGGAACCATTATATTGAGTGGTGGATACCTACCTTATGGATGATTGTGTAGCTATTGATCATCACACCTGAGAAGTTGATTTATTGCATCTGCTCCCAGAGCAAAAAGCGTTTTTTGCTGATCTAGAGATTGATCAGCATGGTGGAGCTCTGGTGAGTTACCCAACTTTACTTTGGTGGTGGATTTTGGCACAATTTCTTTGAGAGCACCTGAATTTGAAAAGGATTTGTTTGGACATTTGAAGAAATTCAGAATTGGACAATTTTTATATTCACAAATTTAATTATTTAAATTACTTATGCACTAAAAAATAGTTTTGCACATAATTTTGATATTTTTTGATATTAATTGAGAATAAATATATATATCTTTTGCACTAATGTTTTTACACTAAATTAGGAATAGTTTGTGGTTTTAGCGCATTCCTTTATTTAACCACTTCCAGACCGGACACTTTTAACCCCTTCCTGACCAGGCAATTTTCCGCTTTTAGCGCTATCACAATTTGAATGACAATTGCGCGGTCATGCAACACTGTACCCAAATGAATTTTTTACCATTTTTTTTAGATAGATAAAGCTTTATTTTGGTGGTATTTATTCACCACTGGGATTTGTATTTTTTTTGCTATGTAAATGAAATGTCCAAAAAATTTGAAAAAAAGTGTTTTTTTTTATAAAATTTTGCAAATAAATAATATTTCATCATAAATCTTAGCCAAAATTTATTACGTTATCTTTTTAGTAAAAAAAAAAAAATCAAATTAGTTTATAAGCAAAAATTATAATTTTTAAACATTTTTTTTTACATTTTTATTTTATTTTTTTATATTATTATTTTTTATTTATTTATTTTTTTTTTTACATACTGTCACCCTAGCAGTACAGTGTCACCATGGTGACACTGTACTACTTGTGAGGGGTGATGAAGATTTTTTTTTTTTTTTTTTTTTACACTGATTGCTTTTACACCCATATAGGATGTAAAAGCAATCATTTCTCTTTCTCTCTGTGTGCATTCTTGCACTCATTGAGAAGAACTGAGTGAGCTGTGATTGGTCACAGCTTGTCACATAGTACAAGGCTTTTGTGAATAGCCTTGTACCATGTGACCTCTGTGATCATTCACAGATTTCACACATAGTAAGCAATGATGTCAGAAGTGACATCTTGCTTACTACTTTGCATGTGATCACTGATTGGCCAATCAGTGATCACATGATCGGGACCTCGTACAGAGGTCCCGTCCGACGATCGGTGTTTCACTGTGTCCGGAGGACACAGCGGGCACCGGATCGCGGTGCTGCGCGCTCCCAGGGAGCACGCACAAGCAGGGTGCGGGGAGGCCGTTTATAGATGGCCACCCGACCCTGCAGTGCCACCGTCCGGCCGTTTATATACAACGGCCGGTCGAGAAGTGGTTAAGTTAATTCTGCTGACAACCAGGGATTTCCCACATTTTGGAGAGATTTCCTCCGACTTCCTGTTTTGGTTATGAGACAGGAAATGAGGGGAAATCCCCACAACATATATGGAAAAAAATTGACAGTGGTTATAACCCTCCCTTGCTCTATTCATATGAAAAAAACATTTTGCTTATAGCTCTACTTTAAAGTGGAATTTCAGTCAAAACTTGACTTAACTCTAGACCTACTCCCACCCCATTCTAAAGCTCTTCTATCTAACCCTGTAAAGAAAAGATCCCAATTCTTACCCATTCTGAAACTGCTCAGGTCCGGTATCCAGTGGCAGTTTCTGTATAGAGAGAGAAGGCAGACAACAGCTGGGAAATGAATAGGAGATGACATCACCCATAGACTTACTATGGGGCATCTGTTGTCAGCTGCCTCTGCTCTATGCAACTCAGCCTGGGACCGGACTGGAGCTGCTTCATAATAGGTAAGTATAACAATCTCTCCTTTACAGAGTTAGAAAAATTTTAGAATGGGGTGGGAGTTGGTTTAGAGTTAGTTAAGATATGACTGGAATTCCACTTTAAGTTACTTTTGCATTTCCATAGATGTGTTCGGGAAGAGCAGCATTTCTCACAGACTTGGACAAAAGCTTGAACACAGTTTCTTACAAGAGTAAAACTCCACTGTTATAGAGAAATAGTTTAAAAATGATAACATACAGTACTTCTATACATGCAATATAAATAATGTTCTACTATGTATGGTTTAAAGTGTACCTCTAGATAAAACCTTTTTTCAATTTTGGATAGTGTGGGGGAGAGCCCTCTGTCAGATTTTTATTACTGTTTGTGCCCCCACTGGGAAGATACACATCTCTATTTGAATGGTGACCATTGTCACTGAGAAAGAGGAGAGACAACATTTTCTGAGTTATCCCCAAAGCTAGGGTTAAGGGGAAAACTTCCAACGGGTCAAAGGTTCTGGGGACATCTGTCCAAGATGGGAAATCCCCTTATTGCCTTTTGAAATGTCTTGTTGTATCTCGGAGACAAGAAGTGAAAGGAAATTTCCCCAATGATAGACAGACAGCAAAAAAAAAAAGTCCTTCAATAGTTTATCCTGAAAAAAAAAAGAAAACATTTGGGTGATACGTAACAGGGAAACATTTTTGCTTACCAGACACTCCTCCACTAGCGTAGATTGCCATTGTGACTGCCATTGCAAAGCCAAGATTGTTAGTCAAATGTCCCCCAGCCTTTCCGTCACTGAGAACAGAAGATGCTACACATGAACAGCCTAAAGTCTGGATAAAGACAAAAATAATGGTATAAATTAAGTTCTAATTAGAGTTGATATGTAAATACACATTCATCTTTTATCTTTATTTTTCTTATTTCTAAATATTTGCCATGTTAAAAATAACATTACTGTGAAATGTTTGCCTAGCATCCATTATAGAGCCATTGTCTTTCATCTTTGTGAAATAATCTTTGTCTGCTTTTAAAAAAGTGACAGTTACTCTAGTGTTATTTATTTTATTTCCTACTCACAGTGGATGAACCAGTTAGGCATGTTTTGGTAGAAAACATTTCATCATATGTGCCCAGATCATAATATTATTATTATTATTATTATTATACAGTATTTATATAGCGCCAAAGGGTTTGCTCAGCGCTGTACAGTAGCAAGGGGGACAGAACATGAGACAAGACAGTAACAATACAATACACGAGGGGTTCGAGGGCCCTGCTTTTTTGAGCTTACAATCTAGGAGGGAGGGGAAAGTGGTACAGGAGGAAATGGCTGTGGGGGATGGAGTGGTGGGAGGAGTGGAGGAGGTTAGTTGTTAGGAGAGGTCAGGTGTTAGGTGAGGTTGGGGTAGGCTTCCCTGAAGAGGAGGGTTTTCAGGGTGCGCTTGAAGGTGAGGAGGGCAGGTTACAGTCTGATGGATTGGGGTAGGGAGTTCCAGAGGATGGGGGAAGTCCTAGAGAAGTCCTGCAATCGGGCGTGGGAGGAGGAGACCAGGGAGCTAGAGAGTAGGAGGTCCTGTGAGGAGCGGAGGGCACGGGTAGGGTAGTATTTGGGTATCAGGTCGGTTATGTAGTTTGGGGCAGCGTTGTGAATGGTTTTGTAGGTGAGAGTAAGCAGTTTGAATTTGATGCGTTGGGCAACCGGGAGCCAGTGAAGGGATTGGCAGAGGGGGGAGGTGAATGTGGAGCGGTTGGTGAGGTGGATGAGTCTAGCCCAGCAATGGGCAAACTGCGGCCCGCGGGCCGTATACGGCCCAGCGGACCTTTTAATCCGGCCCGCGGAGCGTGGCAAACATTGGCTGTCAGGATGTAGGCGGGGCAGCGTGACTAACTCCTCTCCTCTCACAGTCCGCCCTGAAGACCGGAACGGCGCGGGAACATGGCGAGAGGAACGCGCGGAGCAAAGGTAAGTGAATTGACACAATATGGGGAATGAATTACTATAGGGGGGATGAATTACTATAGGGGGGATGAATTACTATATGGGGGATAAATTACTATGGGGGATGAATTACTATGGGGGATGAATTACTATATGGGGGATGAATTACTATGGGGGATGAATTACTATATGGGGGATGAATTACTATATGGGGGATGAATTACTATGGGGGATGAATTACTATATGGGGGATGAATTACTATATGGGGGATGAATTACTATGGGGGATGAACTACTATATGGGGGATGAATTACTATGGGGGATGTATTACTATATGGGGGATGAATTACTATATGGGGGATTAATTACTATAGGGGGGATGAATTACTATATGGGGGATGAATTACTATGGGGGATAAATTACTATGGGGGATGAATTACTATATGGGGGATGAATTACTATGGGGGATGAAATACTATATGGGGGATTAATTACTATATGGGGGATGAATTACTATGGGGGATGAATTACTATGGGGGATGAATTACTATATGGTCGATGAATTACTATGGGGGATGAATTACTATATGGGGGATGAATTACTATATGGGGGATGAATTACTATATGGGGGATGAATTACTATGGGGGATGAATTACTCTAGGGGGGATGAATTACTATAGGGGGGATGAACTACTATGGGGGATGAATTACTATAGGGGGGATGAACTACTATGGGGGATGAATTACTATATGGGGGATGAATTACTATATGGGGGATGAATTACTATGCTTACTATGGGGGAATATTACTATACTTACTATGGATGGCATGGTAGTGGCTGGGCTGGCCAGCAGCTAGTCCGGCCCCCGGTCCAATATATGAACCCATTGCAGCCCTCAAGTCAAAAAGTTTGCCCACCCCTGGTCTAGCCTCTGAGTTCAGGATCGACTGGAGTGGGGATAGCGTTCGTTTGGGTAGGCCAGTGAGAAGGGAATTGCAATAGTCCAGGCGTGAGATGATGAGGGAGTGTACGAGTTGTTTGGTGGTGTCTGCGGTGAGGAATGTGCGTATCTTGGAGATGTTGCGGAGGTGGAGCCTGCAAGATCTAGATAGCAGTTGGATGTGGGGTAGGAAGGAGAGGTGGGAGTCCAGGGTGACACCCAGGACTTTGGCGTGTGGGGTGGAAGAGATGGTGGCGTTGTCAGTAGTGATGGAGAGGATGGGAGGGGGCGCGGGGGGGGGGGGAAAGACCAGGAGCTCGGTTTTGGATAGGTTAAGTTTGAGGAAATGGAGCGACATCCAGTCTGATATGTCGTTTAGGAGGTGGGCGATGCGGGCGGAGAGTGAGGGGGTGAGGTGGAGAGGTAAATTTGGGTGTCGTCGGCATAGAGGTGGTAATTGAAGCCATGGGAGTGAATAAGTTTGCCAAGGGAGGAGGTATAGATGGAGAAGAGGAGGGGTCCGAGGACAGAGCCTTGGGGGACCCCAACAGAGAGGGGGAGGGAGGGGGAGGTGGCAGTGTTGTAGGTGACGCTGAAGGAGCGTTGGGAAAGGTAGGAGGAGAACCAGGAGAGAGCAGCGTCCATGATGCCAAGGGAGTGCAATTTGGCAAGGAGGAGAGGGTGGTCAACAGTGTCGAAGGCCGCGGAGAGGTCGAGGAGCAGGAGGATAGAATAGTGGCCATTGGCTTTGGCGGTTAGCAGGTCGTTGGTGATTTTAAGTAGGGCGGTTTTGGTGGAGTGCAGGGGACGGAAGCCAGACTGTAGGGGGTCAAGGAGGTTGTTATCAGTGAGGTGGGCGCTTAGGCGATTGTAGGCCAGGAGCTCAAGGAGCTTGGAAGTGAAAGGCAGCAGGGAGATGGGTCTAAGGTTGTTAAGGTTAGTGGGGTCAAGGGAGGGTTTTTTGAGTATGGGGGTGATGTGTGCGTGCTTTAGAGGGGAGGGGAAGGTGCCGGTGGAGAGGGAGAGATTGAAGATGTGGGTGAGGGAGCAAATGATGGAGGGAGGGGGTGACTGGAGGAGCTGTGAGGGGATAGGGTCCAGGGGGCAGGTGGTGAGGCAGGCTTCAGAGAAGACCTTAGAGACCTCCTCAGGGGTAGTTGGGCTTAAGGAGTGGAGTGTTGGGGAGGTGATGGTGCGCGGGGCATTAGGTATAGTGGGGGGTAGTGCGGCTATGAGGTCAGGGGAGGGGAGGGTTGAGGGGTTGAAGGAGGGCAGGAGGCTGGGTGGAGAGGTGGATTGTGAGTTGACAATGTCCTTACGGATTGCGTCAATCTTGTTTTGGAAGTGATTGGCAATCTCGTGGACGGTGAGTGAGGTGCAGGGTGGAGGTGGGGGGGGGGAGAGAGCAGGGATTTGAAAGTAGAGAAGAGCCGGCGAGGACAGGTGGAGAGGGTGTTGATAAGGGTTATGAAATAGGCTTGCTTGGCGGCATGGAGGGAGGTGGTGTAGGCGAGGTAGGCGGCTTTATAGAGGGAGAACGCGCGAGGGGATCTGGTTTTGAGCCATAAGCGCTCCAGCGCGCGACTGCGTCGTTTGAGACATTTCGTGTGGTCGTTAAAGTATTTGCATATTCTGAAAAAACAGTAAAAGCTCTTTCAAATAATTCCCCTTTCATCTCTGTATCTTTAAGCACTTTGGTTTACTGTGTTTTACTGCATTTTTCAGCGTTTTTTTTTTCAGCGTTAGAGTGTTTTTACACTGGGTTTTTTTTCCCAGCCAAAAAACGCCTCAGCCAAAAAAACATTGATTACAGCCTATGTGTGCATGGACACATAGGATAACATGCTGGGGAGTTTACTGGCTTTAGAAAAAAAATGCCAAAAGCCAAAGACAGCAGCTGTAAAAACATCCAATGTGCATGAGGACTTAAATGTAAAAACTGCATTTTACAACAAAGTAGCACTTTATATTACTAAGCCATTGAGCCATCCACATCAGTCTTTGTGCCGTGCAGAGGTTGCCTATGTACTGTACACACATCAAGGCCAGATTTGCAATAAAGCAATTAAACATGCCCTATCAGTTGTAGGATGAAAGTTATCTAAACAGGGGGAGAACGGAATGCATGCAGATAGTGTCCCAGAATTTACTCCAACCCTGAACTGTGCTACAAGTCATGCGATTTAACAGAATTAATGCAAAACACAGTCAGCCTGGCATCCAGACTTTACTTTGCTGCAGTTAAGCAACGTAATCATCTCTCTGCCCCCAGACTGTGACCTCACTGAAGGAACATTAATAGGCTGATGAGGTCATCTCTATGTTCTTTCAGTATGTCCCTTGTCAACACATGTGAAAACGGCACACCGGACTGCCCACAAGTGCTGTCCCTCCCTCTCTGAGTCTGAGTGATGCTGTACAGAGGATTACAAGAGGCATAAAGTGACACTGTCCTTATATCCTTATTCTCCAAAAATAATCTATACACACCTACTACCTTATAGCCTGTAAACTTTTCATGTCTTTTTGTTTTCACTGTGTTTCTCTCCCTCTGTAATGTCTTCCATATGCTCCCAAACGTCTCCTTTTGTCCACCACTTCTCTTTGTTTGGAATGAACAAAGCAAGAGAGGGTGTCTACATTCCTACATACAGTGGGACCATGGAGAACTAACGTAGTCAACGTCTAACAGGATGTCAGATCCCAGAAAAATAAAAGGAATTTGGAGGAGGCTGAAAGGGACAGAAAGTGCTTTTTTGATTGAAAGGATAGGTTCACCTTTGGTAACATGTTATATGTTACACCCATATGCAGGGTGTAACATGTAACATGTTAAAAAAGGACTGGCCCCCTCTCCCCTGTTGTGACAGCTAGTGAGAAATCTTCTCCCCCACCCCCCCGCTAGCTGTCACACATTTAAAAAAAATACAGCCGTGTTGGGCTCC